TGACAATGTGGAAGGGGTATCGTCTGTGAGATCCCACTTCCCACAAGATTGTTGTTAGCAGAGATGTAGTCTTTGCAGAAAATGAACTTACAAAGTGAGCAGACAAATGACAGCTTGATAACGGATAAGGTTATAGTATAGATAAAGAAGAAGTCTTGGGATGACTCTTCTAAGTCAGAAGAGGAGCACAAAGATCAAGAGCCAAATGAGGTTGGTAATGGAAATCTCCGACAGTCAATACGAGAAAAAGCTAGATCATCTTGACATTCATAATATGTGATGGCAAGTCATGATGCATATTGTTTTCTAAATGAAGAAGGAGAACCTTTAACTTTTTAAGAGGTTATGAGTTATTTAGATGCTTATCTGTGGACGACTGCAATATAGGAAGAAATTGAGGTTCTTCATAAAAACAAAACATGGAATCTTGTGAAACTTCCGAAAGGTCGAAAAGTCATTGGTTAGAAATAGGTTTATAAGATTAAGAGAGATGACAATGATCAAGTAGAAAGATATTGTGTTAGGTTGGTTGTAAAAGGATATGTTTAGAAAAAAGGTATTGATTTTAATGAGATATTCTTACCGATTGTCAGATTGACGTCCATCAGAGTTGTCTTGACTATGTGTGCTGCATTTGATTTACATCTTGAACAATTGGATGTAAAAATTACTTTTCTTCATGGAGATCTTGAAGAGAAAATTTATATGTTTCAACCAAAAGACTTTTTAAAGAACAAGAAAACTTGGTTTGCAAGTTGACCAAATCTCTATATGGTCTAAAGTAGACGCCCATATATTGGTATAAGAGATTTGAATACTTCATTATTTGCCTTAGTTACAATGGACTGAGCTCAGAATATTGTACATATTTGTCTCCCTAATACCCGCCCCCGACTTTTTTAACCATCCCCGTCCCGCCCCGATCCCCGTCGGGTTAAAAATTAAGTCCTCATCCCAGTCCCGTCGGGTTTCGGGTTCCCGCCCAGTCCCCGATTTATATTATTTTTAAAAAGATAATTACATTTATAATAATTAATTTTATTATGTATTTTATATATATAAATAAATATTTATAATTTTATAATTTATAATTATTATTAATTAAATATACATTTTAATTTATTATATTTATATTAAAATATGTATGTAAAAAATATTTAATTATCTATCTATATATATATATAGAGAATATTTATAACATTATTATTATTATTATTATTATATTCAAATATTTAAATACTTATAACATTATTATTATAATATTGTATTCAAACATTTAATTATATATATAAGTTAATTCATTTTTAAGTTTTCATTTAAAAATATGGAATATATAGTTTATAAGGAAATATTTAATAAGTTAATTCTTATTTAATTAGTTTGAAGTAATAAAAGTTTAAATTATCAATTTCTTTTAATCCTTTAAAATACAATTATTTTATTAAGATAAAATTTGATATGTGATAAATAAGAATAATAAGATAAAAAATATGACATAATAAAACCTAATAAATATAAATTATAAATAAAATAATATTAGTTATTACTATGATTTATGTAAAATATTTAGAAAAAGATAAAGAAGAAAAAAATTTACTTTGTGTTCATCAAATTGATTGAAAAGATTAAAAAAATAAATAATTTGATGGGAGAAATTAAGGAAGTGTAAAAAATAGAAATGTAAGAGAGAGAATGATGTAATAAATTAATTGATATAAAAGATTAAAAAAGACAAAAAAATAATTAAAAGTGGGTAAAAGAAAAATAAAATTGGTGAAATATTAAAAAAATAACCTTATATGTAATAGAAAAAGAAAAGAAAATACATTTAAAATATTAATATTTTAAATTTTAAATTTAAATATAAAGTCGGGGCGGGGACGAGGTCGGGGTCGGGATTGCATTACCCATCCCCGCCCCCGCCCCGACTTTTTAAAGCGGGAAAAACCCGAACCCGACCTCGCCCTCGGTCAACTCGGGTTTTCCTCGTCAAACTCGGGGCGGGGACAGGTCGGTCCCCACAGGATAGGTTTAATTGTCATCCCTAGTTGTATGTGGATGACATGTTGGTAGTAGCCCCAACATAGATTGAATCTAATAGTTAAAGACACAATTGACTAGGGTGTTTGGCATGAAGGATTTAGGACCAACAAATAAGATTTTAGGGATGCAAATTCACAGAGATGAAAAAGATAGGAAGATTTGGCCTTCTTAGAAGAATTACTTATTGAAATGACACTTCAACATGCAAGATTGTAAGCTAATTTCCACCTCACTTCCTATCAATTGTAAGTTATCCTCAAGTATGAGTCCCAACAATTAAGTGGAGAGGATGAAAATGTCTCAAGTATTGTACGCATCAGCGGTAGGAAGTCTTATGTATGTCATGATTTGTACAAGACCAAACATTGCACAAGCAGTGTGAGTAATTAGTAGATTTATGAGAAATCCTAGTGGAGAGCATTGGAGTGTTATAAAGAGGATCTTTAGACACATCAAAGGAACCTCAGGTGTTGCATTATATTATAAAGGATCAAAACTAGTTGTCAGAGACTATGTTGATTCATATCTTGCAGGTGATCTGGATAAAAGGAGATATACTACAAGTATTTATAGTTGCAAGAGGGGCATTAAGTTGGTTATCTAAGTTATAGGATGTTGTAGCTCTGTCTACCATAGAAGCTGAGTATATGGCAATCACCCAAGCATTTAAGAAAACTATCACTAGTACAAAAATCACTTTTAACATCAGGCTTTCCACATCGGTTCTTTAAGAACCGATGTAGAAAGTGAATTCAAGACTTTCAACATCGGTTCCCAGATGAACCGATGTAGAAAGTCTTTTTATAAAATTAAGAGAATTATTACTGGCAGGATTTGAACCCAATACCTTGAAGTCGAAGGCTGATACTCCAACCACTAAGCTACCAAGATTTTCTGATAATAACTTATACATAAATTATATTTATATACAAATAAAAATGTATATCCATGTAAATATATAAATATAAAATATATAAATACAAATACAAATATATTTATATGTTGGATGTGAGAGCGCGCTCGAGAGTAAAAGTGTGTGTCAAGTGGGTTTTCAAAATTTGATGTCAAATTTGTGAGCAAGTTTCTTTATATGAATTTGTAATTTAATGATAGAATATAATCTTTATAATTTATTTATAATAATATAGAATATAATCTTTTTAATTAATTTATATAATGATATAAAATAAAGAAAAAAATTATTTTATATCATTATATAAATAAATTATAAAGATTATATTTTATCATTAAGTTATAATCCATATAAAGAGACCAGCTCACAAATTTGACATCAAATTTTAAAAATTCACTCGACACACACTTTCATCCTCGAGCGCGTCCTCACATCCAACATATAAATATATAAATATATTTGTATTTGTATTTATATATTTTATATTTATATATTTACATGTATATACATTTTTATTTGTATATAATATAATTTATGTATAAGTTATTATCAAAAAATCCTGGTAGCTTAGTGGTTGGAGTATCGACCTCCGACTCTAAGGTACTTGGGTTCGAATCTTGTCGATGACAATCCTCTTAATCTGATAATAATTCAAATTCCTAAAAAATATAAATAATAAAAATATAATATAAAAGGGTTATAAAAGGGAGAGGATAATCTAGGAAACTCTAGATCAATAGATAGGGTAATTAGAGATGTGTTATGAATAAATACAATAAAAAAAATATTAGACTTTCTACATCGGTTCCTTACAACCAACTCTAGATCAATAGATAGGGTAATTAGAGATGTGTTATGAATAAATAAAATAAAAAAAATATTAGACTTTCTACATCGGTTCCTTACAACCGATGTGGAAAGTCACACTTTCTACATCGGTTGTATCTACATCGGTTCTAGAACCGATGTTAAAAGCCTATTTTGTACTAGTGTATTTGGATTAGGAAGATAATGGAGGAATTCGGGCACAAGCAACAACAAATTGTTGTGTAATGTGACAGTCAGAGTGTCTTGCACATTGCAAAGAATCCAATCTTTCATTCTAAGATAAAGCACATAAGAATAAGATATCATTTTGTTCGTGAAGTAGTGGAAGAAAAAAGTGTAGATATGCAAAAGATTCACACGGATGAGAACCTAGCATATGTTATGACAATGTCAGTTAGTGTTGACAAGTTTGTGTGGAATCGATCCTACTATGGCCTAGCGAAAAAATAAGTAACATGAATGACAAGAATAAAACAAATATGGTGTGAAAATTTGATTAATTAAATCAAAATCTTCAAGTGGGACATTATGAGAAGAGAAGTCTCACATCAGACAAATCTTATTTTTCATACTATAAAAAAAGAACAGTGTTTACCTTGTAAAACATATCAAAATCAATTCATTTTCTTTCTCTTGTTGCTTTAGTGCTTCAGAGATAAATTAAGAGAGAAAAATAGTTTTTCTTTTAAAGTTCTCTTATAGTTATTTTTCTTTTGTTTTTAAAAAAGAGTATTATTGTTTCCTCGTTAGAGGTAAAATAATAAATATTGTAATTTCTTTTATTAGTGAAATTACGTTTTTGTGTATTGTCTTTTTTTATCTTTTTTATTTTAGTTGTCTGTAGTTGTTCACTTATTCTCTTCTGTGATACCTAATATTTTATGTTTATCAACTTGTTGCTCCATGTAATAAAGAGCTTAAATTTACTTAAATAAAACATGGAATTATAGAAGTCTCACCTATCAGAGTTTGTATAATTTAATTAACACTTTCTATTTCCAGTTTTGTAAATTTGTAAGTAATCCATTTGTCATTTAAAGGAGAGAAGAATACATATCCATCTCCAGTGAAATAGAATATCAGCAAAGCATTAACCTTCACTTCCACAAAGCTTCACACTACTATATCAGTTTTCATATCAACACCTTGGAATGAAATAAAACTTTATTATAAGACAAAAGCACATTAAAGAGAGAAGATAATGAAAGGCACGAACCTACTTAGAAGTGGAAGAAAGCCTACTATACTTCTGAAGTGCAGCAATAAAATCTTCAATGTATTGATCATGAAGTTCTTCGGAACCGAAAATCTTGCTGATCTCCTTGGCATTCTCTCTCAGAGTACTGCCATCTTCATCTACAATTGCGAACCTCAATGTCTTGGCCACAGAGTCCCTAGTAAAGGACCCATCTTCCTCGCTCCTTGGCACTTCCATAGCCACATTCTTTTCTCTAGCACCCTTGAAAAGAGGGCTTGGTCAGGCAAATAATGGAGGCTCACAAGGACATGCCCTAAATGAAGGTTCTCAATGACAGAACTAGCACCACAGTGACTCATGCGTCCCCCAACTTCCCCATGAGCTAAGATCTTAAGCTGGGGTACCCAAGTCTTCCAAACAATCCCACGATCCTTGGTTCTCTCCTCAAACCCCTCTGGCAACTCAAGTACCCCTCTTTCAGTTTCTTCGGAGCCCAAAAGAAAGGCAGGTCAGAAAGCTCAATCCCATGAGCCAACTCAGTGAGATCTTGCTGACTCAGTGCAACTCGCTCCCAAATGCAATGTACACGGACGAGGGCTTTTGTTTGTCCAACCAGGCCTTAATTTTGACCCAGTCAGGGTTTTTATTTTCCTCTTCAACATCCCTTATCTGCATGGATGGTGTAATCACCCCCACTGGAATCACAGGAACGTTGTAGATATCGGCAAGACAATCTAACCACTCTCCCTCAAGCTCTCTGCAAGATCTGTTAAGAAACAAGTCACAGCTGGAAAATGCCTTGTTGATGTCAAAAGAAGCCCTCTCTCCTGTCTCCTCATCCTTGGGAATGTTGTGTGCTCTCATCAACTCGTAAGGCCTGAGATGAATGCTTGTGCGGAAAGGGAGCCACGTGGGAGGGCCGCACATGCTTTTGAGGGAGAAATCTAAGTTCATTTGCTTCTTTGGTGCAGCAAAGAAGGATACGTTCCACGCTGGGGTTATGTGGTAAAATGTACAGGGGATGTTGAGGCTCTTAGCTATTTCGGGCAACCACTCAAATGTAAAGTCGTAGAAAACCCAATCAGGCTTTGAAGTTTTGAGGACCTCCACGACAGAGTCTTGGAGGCCATCTAAAGCCTTCTTAAGGAAGCCTAACTTTGTTGAGGGAACGTCCATCGTGCTCTCTGCACCTTCTGGAAGATGCTGTATGCGTGGCAAGGGTAGCCTCACCAGTGTAATAAATGGTTGTAAGGTTTTGGGGGGTTTGGGAATGCGATCGATGTTTTTGGGGCTGTTTATGAAGGTAACATGGTGACCCTTTCGAGCAAGAATCTTGGCCAGCTCAAAAAAGGGGTTTATGTGACCCATGGCCAGCCATGGGAGCATGGCAACGTGAAGAGGCTTATCACTTTTGCCATTGCCCGATTCCATGATGAGAGTGTTTGTTTCAGTTGGATTTGGATGACGAAATAATGATATAAATAGATGGTAGTTATGACTTTTTTTTTGTTTTTTGAGAAAAGTGTTTAATGTTAAGAAAAATTGTCATAAGAACACGTGGTTACATATGATAATATCATTTATTTAATTTATTTGATGTTATCGAAGTTGGATCTATTTTTTTTTTAAATGAGTAGAAGCAGTGATAAAAATATTTCTCTTCATATCTTTTTTTTTGTCCTTTATCTAATTTTCTCTGGTAATACATGTAATTAACACTCCAACAAAATGTACAATTACACAGATTTTAATCCGTAAAAAATGAACATTTATCAATATATATTTATTGATCAAGATTCTGTGGTAAAAATTAGCACGCCCAAGGAATTTTTTTTTTATTGACTATCTGTGCTTTGATAGAGACATACATTGGTAATGTTATCAATGTTTATGTATTAAAGAGCTTAATAAAAAACAGTTATGAATATGAATAGGAGTGGAAAAAGTCGTGTTATCAAAATGATTTCTTTTGTTTTTTTTTATTATTTTATAAAATCTTGTTATTTAACATAATTTTTAAAAATGATCCTGCATAACTCGAGTTGACCTTTATTCTTATTTTTTTGACCTGCTTCTTTAAAATGAGACAGTTGACAACTACACCCATTTCCTCCACCAACATCTGCACCTTGTTTGTGCACCAACAACCCACGTTTCTCCCATTTTAATAATATAATATTTATAAAACCTTTCAAATTTATATATTTATTATTATTATAATAATAATAGTGAATGGAATATATAAAATGAATAATAGTGTCAAAATATCATCATCTCATGAAATTATGATATAAAGAGATGGAAGTTGTAACTTTTTGTGTTTTTTTTTAGAAGTGTTTAATGTTAAGAAAAAAATTATCATAAGAACACGGGCTATTTTTAAGAGGTGCAGCCGAAATTTTTACAAAATAATACAACTTTCTCATTTTAGTATAATAGTGATTATATTTTGACAGGTTTTCAAAAACATTCATTAATATTTTCTGATCATTATTTTTATCACTATATGAATATCAATTTATACTTTTCAATATTATTACGGTTATCAATTTATTTTTTTAATATTATTAGGATTATTAATTTATATTTTTTTAATATAACGTGTTACATGTATTCATATTTAAATTCTTAATAATTTTAAACTAAAAAATGATTTATTTTTATATTAATATATATTTTTCTCATTTTCAAGACCAAAATCATCTCTCGGATCAATAAAAAATCCATTTATTTTTTTAAATAATTATCTTTAAATTAAATTTATACAAAATTAATTTAAAACTATATTAAAATAAAAAAAATCGATTGAATTTTTAAATGAAATTACAGTAAAAAAGTTTAAACATCAACAAATTTATTTTTTTAATTATAATTTTATATATTAATAATAATATTATTAATTTTAAATAATAATTATTTTATAATTTTCAATTATCTATCTTTAAAATGCTAAGCCTAAAAAATGAGTTCAAAGAATAATTTAAGATAAGGGTAAACTATTTAGCTAAGTAGCTAAGACAAATAAAACCTAAATCATTTTTATTGGTGTATAAGTTCGGCTGATGTCGTAAAGAAATCAATCAAGTGATGGGAAGTTCTCATATCATGAGTGACACAAAAAAAAATGAATAAGGCTCAAAACACACATGTGTGCTTTATTCACCCTGAAATTAATTCAACCAATGTTAATGTAACTCAACCATGACTTCTTAAGTGAATCAAACTTTTCAAAAATTTGAACTCTTCCTCCTGATCAAGTTGGTCATCTTTTCCAAAGTAGTCTCTCATCAATCTACAACATTACAAAATAGTTAAAACAAAAAATATAAATGAAACCTCATGCATAAAATGCAAATACTCCCACCTTTTGAAATCAACGTGGTCCTCAATGTGGAAAATTTATGTTATGCAAATGCAAATGCAAATGAAAAAAGCTAAAACAGCTTAGGTTCTGGGTGTATCTCCTTAGATGGTATAGGTGCTGAGGTCATCAAGTAGAAACTCTGTTTAACTAAAACAAACAAGGTGTTCCTCTATAATAAAAAACCTATCAATTTCTCAACCGTTTGATTTATGAATGGAATAGGAAAGTGATCCTTCCGCATAACAGTTATCTCACTTTTTTTTGGAACAACTTGGATAGGAGATACCTAAGTGTTGTCTAAGATGAGGCATATGATGTTAGATTTCAATAGTTTAGTCACCTCCTTTTCACCTCATCAAGGATAGTAGGATTCATCTTTCGTTGGGGTTGCCTCAGAAGTCTGCAATCATCTTCCAGCAAGATTTTGTGCATGCAAATAATAGGATTGATCCTAGTGAGGACATCTAAGGACTAATCGAATGCTTTCTTGTGCTCTTTCAACATCTTCAACGACATTCCTTCTTGATCGGGAGTAGATCACTAGATATGATCACAAGTAGCGTTTTAGACTCCTCCAAGTAAGCACACTACAAGAAAAACATCAAATAGTGACCAAAAATTCGGTCACTAAATCTGCAAAATCGGTTACTAATTAAAATAGTGACCGAAATAGTGACCAATTGGAATCGGTCACTATTTCCTTGCTTATTTAAGTTTTTATTTATATTTATTTCCCCTATCTCTTAATTTTATTATATTTTTTAGAAGTTTAACTTATTATTAGGTGGTTTATTGTCATTGTCGGGATTCGAACCCGGTAACTTAGAGTTGGAGGTTGAAACTCCAACCATCGAGCTACTAGGATCTTTTAATAATAACTTACAAATAAATTATATTTATATACAAATAAATGTATATTCGTATAAATATATAAATATAAAATCTATAAATAAAAATATATTTATATATTTTAATATATAAAATCTACAAATAATGGTATATTAGTATAGTATAGTATATTTGTATTCTAATTTTTAATTAAATTAAAATTATGCTAATAATGTATATTAATATATGAGGGGATAATATTGATATATTTGTATATATATATATATATATATATATATATATATATATATATATATATATATATATATATATATATATATATATATTTATATATATTTATATATTTATATATTGATATATTTATATATTAATATATTTATATATTTATATTTTTATATTTTGATATATTTATATATTGATATATTTATATATTTATTTATATCCTTATACATTTATATATTTATATATTTATATATTTGAAAAAAATATTAAATTTTAAAAATAATATTATATTTTTAAAAATAAATATTAGAAAAAGATTTAAAAATATATATAAATTATATTTACATTTACAAAATATTAAAGATATATGTTTATATCTTTACATATTTATATATATTTATATGTTTATATTTTTACATATATTTATATCTTTCCATATTTATATATTTATATATAAAGATATTAATTTTCTATACAAATAATATTATAATATAGTATATTATACTATTAGTATAGTATACAAATAATATGTTAGTATAGTATAGTATACAAATTATTAATTTTGTAATTTATATACAATGAAAATAATATAATGGTATATTGGTATAGTATATTTGTATTCTAATTTTTAAATAAACTAAAATTACGCTAAATGTATAATAATATATGAGAGGATAATAAATTTAATCCAATTACTTTTATAAATATATAAATATAAAATCTATAAAATATTAAAAATGATATTATATTTTTAAAAACAAATATTAGAAAAAGGTTTAAAAACTAGTATTATCTTAAATTTATTAAAAGTATAATTAAATCTCTATTTTTCTTAATTTTATTTGTTTCAAACTTCTCAATTCTACATTTTTGTAAGTTCTATCATTATATTATAATCCTCATCTCCTCCCATGTTCTACTTTATCTTTACAATAGTCAATATTCTTAACTAATTTATAGTTTTAATTATAATTTTTTAGTATATATTTCAGAAATTAATCAATTCTAATCTATTATTTGCAAAACTAATCAATTCTAATCAATAATTTAGAAAACTAATCGATTATAATTAATTATTTGAAAAAATTATCAAATATGATCGATCATTTCGAAAATATAATCGATCAGAATCAATTATCGCTCGAGCGAGGCTAGGCTCGCTCAAGCGAAATACAACCCGAGAGTACCAATTTTGTGCGAGGAGCGTTTCGCTCGAGCGAGAAAGTTGTCGCTCAAGCGAGATACAGTTTAGATAGCGGTTACACGAGAACCGCTCTTAAAACTCGCTTAGATAGCGGTTAACCGTTGAACCACTATTATATGGTTTCAATTATGATCGGTCAGAATGCAATTATGACCGATCATAACTATTTTAATCGATTAAATCTAGTTTCAATCGATTAAAACAATTTCTGCAATGCGTTTTAATCGATTAAAACTTATTTTTATCAGTTAAAATAACTTGAAAACTTATATTAACTATTTTTTTATATTATGTTTTTAAATTTTCTATTAGAGACAACCTTTCGGAATTCAAAATGTTAAATACTTTTAAATATTAAAATTAACTTTATCAAAAATTAGGAAAAAGAAATTAATCCAAAACAGTTCAAAAATGTATTATAATATTGTCAATTTTGAGTTTAATTATATTGTTCATTCTCAAAGTAGAAAAATATATTGTAATTATTTTAATTTAATAAAATATAATTTAAAATTTTAATACTAAAATCAAAAGATTAAATAATAATAAATTTAATTCTTTAAATTCAGTAGTTAGAAACTAAAATTATAGTTTCTCTGTTTTAAATAATTAAAAAAAATATTAAAAAAAATCAAAACTAGTATTATCTTAAATTTATTAAAAGTGTAATTAAATATCTATTTTCTTAATTTTATTTGTTTCAAACTTCTCAATTCTACATTTTTGTAAGTTCTATCATTATATTATCATCCTCATCTCCTCCCATGTTCTACTTTATCTTTACAATAGTCA